CAGGAAGCGAGAGGTTCCCACAGGCGGTAGTGTTAGGGAATTGATCATGTTAAATTATGCTGTGATGCCGCCTCACAGGCTGCATTCTCCTGGTACATCTTGGCTCCTAAAATGACCTCATGCCCTTATCTCTGGTTTCCCTCCCCCCCAAGGCCACAGTGGTCCAGGAAAGCTAAAACCTGTGTCTGCAGGACTGGGCCCATAAAAGCAATCTGGCCTGTAATAGGTTGAAAGTAACTCACTCCTCATAAATAAGCAATAGCCCACCCCAAAATTGATAAAAGGACCTTCCTTTCTTTGTTCTTTTCTCTCCTTCTGCTTCTTCTTCCTCCTCTCTCTCTCTCTCTCTCTCTCTCTCTGCCTTCCTACCTCCTGCTCGCCTCCCTACAATAAAGATCTCCTGCCAGACCTCTCGGTGCATGAGTGGCCTAATTGGAAAGGGGCGCCTGAAAGGGCATGCGAACCCCCTTTCAGGTAGGGTCACCAGGACCCATCTTGAAGGATCTTCGGAGAGGCCTTTGGCGCATATAGTTGAGGTGGGTGTGGATTATTGTCCCTATTTTAATGGACGAGGAAATTGAGGCTTGGGGAGGGGAAACAGCACGCTGTTGGTCAGCCGGGTGTCAGTGTTCCCACCTGTTCCCCAGACTCTAATGGCACGGTCTGCTGGTGAGGTGGGGTCTGCCAGGGGAGCAGGAGTGGGGTTTGGTGTGTGGACCTCGCCAAGTCCTCTGCGGGGGCATCTGCCGGTGAAGTCAGTGGTGGGTTTGGTCCTGGTTGGTCACGTTCCTGAGGCCAGTCAGATCACTGTGGGGGAATCCCGGAGAGGGAGCTGACACAGTGGAGAGGTGCCCCATCCCCAAGCATGTGCTCTGGGCTTTAAAGCCTGTAGCTCCTTCCCTGCAGGGGGCCACAGGCCTAAGCCTCCAAGGAGGGAATGGGGGGGCACTGCCAGGGCAGGGCTGCTTGAGGTGGGCTAGGACCTTGTTTCATTCACTCCCACAGGGTCACCTGTGCTATAGCACCATGGGCAGCCTGTTCCGATGCGGCTTCTTTGGCCAGATGCTCTTCTCCAGCCAGCTAACGTGCTACGCCCACGACCTCTACACCACCACCTGCCTCAACTTCCTGCACTTCCTGCTCAGTTCACTGTTTACGGTGTGCAGGAGCTGGTTGGTGTCTGCAGTCTCGCTGGCCACCCTGACCCTCCATACCTTAAGGATCCACTGGTCCCAGTCCTGCTAGGAGCTCTGTAGGTCCCCAAACTTAAGTCTCCAACTTCCAGACCCAGAGGGGTCAAAACCTATCAGATGTTTTCTATTGGGGGGGGCGGCAGTAGGATTTATGGTCAAAGGGAGATGTTCTTTGTCCCCTAAATTAACTTAGCATCTGCTGTAAATTAAGACCCCACTGTCTCATTATTTCCCTGGTAGAAGTGATGCCAGTTGCAAGGAGGAAGGCAGAGCCTGCTCTCAGGAGGTATGCAGTGACTTCCTGGAAACAGGCAGCATATAACGAAGGCATAGCTGGTTTTTCTCTGGGAGATCCAAGGATGCTCCTGGGCTAAGATTGGGGAAGTAGAGGCAGCCATGACAGCATTGGGCAAACATTAGTAGGAGCATCTCGGCTCCATCTTACAGGAGGTAGGGTCTGTGGACTTCGAAGTGGAGTCTTCAGGGTTCCCTGCTCCTGCCTTCCCTGCCATCCTCAGCTGCCTTCCAGATGTTCAAGAGGGGACCATTTATTGAGCATTTGCTGTGTTTTGTTTTGGGTGGGAATGCTTTTAATTCATTCAACTTAATGCTCCAATTAACCTAACAAGGAAGGTTTTATCAACCTCATTTTATCATTGGAGGAATGGAAATGCAGAGAATCTAAGTCACTTGTCACAAAGCTCAAAGACAATGGAGGTGGGATTCGAACCCAAGGGCTGTCTAGCTCCAGGGGTCTGTTATGTCTCCCAGAGCACTGCCTCTTAGATGGACTGGGCTGGAGAGCTCCAGCTGGCAATGCTGGGGGCCCAGACACAACCAGATATGCTTTTAGACATCAACACTAAGTAGACACCATGGAGGGGAAAAGGTGCCATTTAAAGAAATCTGGCCCTTCACTGTGCTAGCCTGCAGTTTCTGAGATGGAGTTCAACTGAGAACCTTCCAGCACCTGCTTCCTCTCCTCAGCTCCCTCTGCAACATCCTTGGGCGAGAACCACCAGTGGTGGGCTGGGGAATCTGTGCATCACTGAGGAATCCTGGGAGGCCTCCCATTAATTGGAGCTACTCCATCTGCGCTCACATGTGTCCCTGCAGTTGCCATGTGAGTTGGCTGTGGAGCAAGAGCACGCCAGTCTGGGTCTTGCCTCCTGTTTCCTGTCCTGTAGCCAGAGGGTAAGTAGCCCAGGAGCTCAGAGTCTTGGGGCTGCTAAGGGTTGGAGAAGTGGTAACCAATGGGGTGGCATTGTCTTCTGAGGGCCCTGGACAATTTGCAGGAACTCTTTTTGAGCATTCATATGCAGACTTTCTTGAGAATTTAGGTAGAAATACTTATTGTAAATTGCTTTTAGTACTTCTCCTTTGTTATATTGATTTTTAAGATTATTTGTGGATTTCAGTTCAGGATGGCAAAGGGGAAATTTAAATATTTCTTTGAAGAATTGGGTGTGATCGGACCACAGGTTCTGTTCAACGTGGCTGAGTCAACTTCTGGTGCCCACAGCTCTAGGGAGTGCTGGGGCTGAACCCCCTTCCCAGTCCAGCCCCCCTGGGAGGGGCTTCCCAACATGTGCTCTTCTGAGCTGGGGCTTCCTCTCCACACAAACCTTGTAAACACCAAGGAGCAGGTGCTCTAGTTCCGACCTTTGCTGTTCAGGCTGAGATTCCTGCTGGCAGAGTGGCAACCCTGGCTCCCAGCCAGGTCTGTATCCCCGAGCTCTCCACGAGGGTCCTGGTTTCTACCCTGGCTCTTCTGAGCCTTGCTTCTTAAACGTCCATCTCAAAGGTTTCCTTTAGCTAGGCGTTACCAGGCACACATGTGTCCTTTAGGCAGTGTCAACTGAGTGCCTCCTGCTCGCCCGCAGTGTAGAAAAGGACTTGAGAAGGAATTGTACGTGGTTATGAATTCATAACTGAATCAATGGCTTGCAGCTACAGTATTTCTCCATTCCAGCCACCCTCAGGCTGCACACACTCCCATCAGCAGCAGTAGGCTCTCCAGGGAAGCTTGTGCTTGGACTCCTCCATCGCCATATCCTGAGTGAGCCCTTCTGACACATTTTCTACCCCTGGTTGGGAGTCCCTGTGTGAACCTGGAAAGAAAAGTTCCATAACCACTTTTCTTTGTTTCTTATGAGGTGGAAGACAATGAGAAATGAGGACCAGGCAGGCTGCAAAGAGGCTAACTCAACTGGAGATGTGGGTCCGCATCATGGGTCGTCTATTTGAGATAGTTTTCAGAGAACTAAGTATGAGAGAAAAACAACAACAGCAACGTCAAGAGTATTGAAACTTCCCGAGTGTAACAGATTTGGAGCTGAAGACGTTTGTTTTAGGGAGGATGAAGCAGTCTTGCTCTTATCTGAAAGGCATTGTTCATGGTTTTGAGTCTAAAATCTGTTCTGCTGAGTTGCATTGTCTTGCATCCAGTTTTATTTCTAAATATTTCTCTTTAAAGAGTATTTCTGTGCAGATAAATAACAGGAAACAAGGAGAGAGATCTTTTGCAAGTGAGAAGGGGAACAAGGGATAGAGGAAGGGGGAAGGAAAGGGAAGTAAAAGGAGTTGTTATGTATATGTACCGGTTCCGCACAATGGATGTAATCACTGTACACTGCAAACGTACTAATAAAAATAAAAATTTAAAGTGTTTCTGTGAATTTTGTTACTTCCTAACAATAAAAAATTGGCTCCCTGTTCTTTCATTCTAGGCCACTGTAAAGATTAAATGAGATAACCCAAAATTTTGTTTTTAACTTGGTGCAAATATACATGCATGAAAACATATTTGGAGTCATACTTGTGACTTGAAAGCTTGATTCTTTGTCAGGAGCTTCTCTGTGGTGTTCAGTCCTGGCCCATCAGTGTTCTGATGTCACTGATTTGAACTCACTCCTACAGTTAGTTCCTATTTTGCCTCTTAGTGGTATCATGTGGAGGCTTAGAACGAGCTCTCATGTCTCATGAAAATGTGCAACCCCTGAAAGGAAGAGTCTGACGGTGCAGTTCTCCAGTTCCAACTGTGGGGACCCTGGGAGTGTCTGTGGGTCACTGAGGGACACAGGTCACACACTCAGGAAGTGTGCGCTTTGGAAGCTTCCAGGGCTGGCACCGCTAAGGCCTTTCCTTCCTCTCACAGGCTTCTCCAAGACTTTGCTAAAGATGGGTTGGGGACATGTGACCAAGAGCTGATCCCTCCATCCTGGGCAGGAGAAATGCATCCAGCTTCTGAGTCATGACCTTAGGAGAGGGTGACTTCCCCTTCTTCTCTTTCCCCCTCCCTTGATCAAAGAGAGGAGTTGGTTGGGAGCCACCTCTGGCCACATGGTAAGATGGCAGAGCCTCAAGACAGATGTAGTCTGCACCCAGCACCTTGTTAGCACTGGACTGCTTCACCTGGGCTGGGGATGTGAGAGCCGATGTGCTGCCATTTGGGACCAGCTGCAGCAGCCAGATCAACACACTAATTCTACCATCAAGTCACCAGCAGCTAGGAAATGAAGAGAACAGAAGCACCCTGAGGAGCGACCTAGTAGTAAAAGTGGCCAAGCCACACCACTGTAGAATAAGTGACTATACTTTTGCCATCACAGTGACTTCTGCTTGATGAAGCAAACCCTTTTAGGGTTTCTCTCTCAGATTTGCTTTCTCCATCACCACCCCTACTTCTCATTTCTTTATGTCCAAGCTAGCTCTGGACCTGAAGCCAGGCAGTCCGGAGTTGGCACTTGCTACCTTGTCATGTCTGCCTGATGGCTGTCTCCATACCTATGCCTGGAAGCTACTGAGATGTACATGGGGCTTGGCCACAGTAGGCACTAAATCAGTTCTCTGTACTATTTCACATTTCTGTGTGTCAAGATTTGTTTTGATAATCAACTTACGGAAACTTAAATAAAACAGGCTTAAGGAAAAAGGGAATTATGAGCCCATAAGCAAAACAATCCAGGGCAAGACAGTTTCAGGCATAGTAATATTCAGGGGTGCAGTCTATGTCACTGACAGTTTCACTCTCCAGCTCTCAAGCTTATTCTGGGTTGAGACTATTTTCTGGCAGGTTTCATCCACATGTGTATTAGGTGGCCAATCCTAAACTCCAGGTTTTCATCTTACCCTTTAACAACTTTATGAGAAGTGCCTTTCCAACCAAAGTCTGGGAAATGGGGTCTCACTGATTCTGAGATGTGACCCCATCCTCCAGCCAATGCTGGCCAGGGAGATGCCAGGCCTTGGTCGTCCTGGCCCGGGGCACAGGCACAGGCTCACCCCTGGTGTGTTCCTCTCATAGTGCTCAGGCTGGGCATGGGAAAGAGGCGGCCTCCGAAAACTGAGGTACTTACTAGAGGCAGAACATGCCAGGCAGGCAACAGTAGGCTTTTGCAGCATGTGAAAGACTCAGCAGAGTTCCTGGCATAGTAAACACTAAAAAAATGAGAATGGTCATGTATCTCCGTGTCTTCCCATTTAGTTGTCTGCACAGCAAGACTAATGTAATCTTATTAGTCTTCTTTTAAAATTCACTTTACATCTGGCTCCTGTAAAAAGCTGCCCCTAACCATTAGGCTCAATTTCTGCTAAGGCCCATATTTCCACTACAATTCGTGTCAAGTGCTAAGGGCCTGCCTTCTTTCCTCTTGGGCTCTCCTCTGTTCTGTACATCCAGAAACAACTATTTACTAAACAAGAAGCTACTGAGTATTGACAAAGAGCCCCCAAATTAAGCTGTTTTCCGCAGTTGCAGTAGCTTCCACAATCATTTCCCATCCTTTTGTACCAGGGACTCTATTTAGTCTGGTTAGGCAGTTTAGAAGCTCTGATTCGTTGTTTTGAAAATTATGTACTACTAGATGCCAATAGTTACTGTTAGTGCCCAGGGAGCAACATGAGATGTCTGGCAAAAACCTGACAACCAGGAAAGCAAAGCTGCTCTTCTGAGAAGAACTGGGTTGTGATATTGACAGTGATTTTGGGGAGAGATGGAAAACTAGGCCTGGGGAGAGGGAGGGTATGGGTGGTAAGGATGAACCAGTCTAGAAGCCAAAGAAAAGGATGGCAACGCAAGCTTGATCGTGAGGGCGTCAGCGGACTGAAGGGTGTCTGGGTCTGAGGCAAACACATTCCTCACATGGAGGGACTTGCTTCAGCTCCTTTATCAGGGTGATTTTGCATACTGACTGCGTAAGTCTGACATGCTCACTCTGTGACCTCTAAGCAACCCTCTGGGCATTCTTTGGCTTCCAATTAAAGCAAGTCGGCCTGAGGCAAGGACAGGGCTGGGCATGTGTATCCTGCACTGTAGCGGTGGAAAGTTAGTCTGCTGGCATACAGTCTTAAGTTTTTTTATGGGCCTTGTTATTATAAACCTGATCTTGAGAGATGGACCTGCTTCCCTCACAGTGAAAAAAAGCAGTTCCTGGGGGTGAGGGTGATTGTCTGATCCTTGATTAGGGTGGGTTCTCCAAGCAACAAATACTCTCCACAAGGCCTTTTGGAATAGAAGCTCCCATCACTGCTTTCTATAATAAATAAGATAAACAGATAAGCAAGGAAAAACAACAATTTAATGTTTTCTTTTCAGATAATACTTAAATATTAAGCTAAAATTTGAAATGTATTGCCTAGACTTTTCTATACGTTATATTTACATGAGTCTGATTTTACCTTTCCAAGTGTGGTTTCGCTGAAGGGTTAGAATTTTTTTTTTTTTTTTTAACCAGGGATTGAACTCCAGTTTGCAGTTGATGAGTCTGATTTTACCTTTCCAAGTGTGGTTTCGCTGAAGGGTTAGAATTTTTTTTTTTTTTTTTAACCAGGGATTGAACTCCAGTCTTTGCAGTTGCAAGGCAGACGATAGAACCACTGAGCTAAATCTCTCGCCCTCACTGAAGCATTAGAAAAAGCCTTGTGTCACAGTCCCTGGGGCTCACACTGCCTTCTCAGGCCAGCTGTCCCCTGGCAAAGACTGGAAGTAAAGAAGCAACTACTCCCTTTCCACCCTTCTCACTTATCCCCTTTTAAGTTGAGCATTTCTGAATAAGAAGCGCAAAATTAGGTTTGGGTATAAAAAACTAGATGACCAGTCCAATCTAGGGCTGTGTTTTGTTCAAGGAGACCTGGCCCAGAAAGGACAAGAATTACCCTCTGAGCAGGGGTGCTGTGACAGGAGTCAGTGGTCACTCGTATATGGCAACTGTGATTGCTGAGCGAAGGCATGGCTAGCAAAAGCTCATCAGTAACATAGGGGGCTTGACCTTTCAGCCTGGTATGCTAATTTCAAACCTCTACTCTTCCACCTTTACGAACTGGCCCTCTCTGCTAAGGTGGCTCCTGAAAGAAAGTCCATCCTGTTGCAGTGTCAACCTTCAGATATGGAAAATAACTACAGTGAGATTAAAGTATTTCAGTAAAGTGCAAATTATTTCCACAGTGGTTGGGAAAATTCTATTCAATACTTTGAAATTTATGTATGTTGTAAAATTGTAGCAAAATGAAGTCTTAAACACATAAATTGAAGACTTTCCTATGGGGATATAAAAATTAAGAGTAAATCCAGTGAATTACTTCCAAAATCCCAAGAGCCCATAGTCTGCATTCATGATGCCTTGCTGTTACATGAGTTTTTTTTAGGTCATCCGGACAAGAAGTCTTATGGAGACCCTGAGAGACTTTTTTAAGAAAAAAAAAAAAAAAGCATTAAGAAATTATGATTCAAAGGTTTCAAACCCTAATGTTACTGGCAAGGCTTCATTTTTACGGAATACAAAGCACTCTGTTTCTTCCACTTCTAACAGCTCATCAAGAGAAGCCACTACCAAATCATGCTCCTGCAGCATTTCTGGGTAATGGGACACAGCTCGCTCGATTCTTGCTGACCGCCGCACGGGAGTGATAAGCTTCATGTCTTGCACTTCTGGCTTTCCACTTTTTCTGAGAGACAGTAAGAGATGCATTTACTTACTTATTTATCGAGACAAAGTCCCACTATGCAGTTCAGGATGGGCTTAAGCTCATGGCAATCCTTCTACCTCAGCCTCCGGAGTGCTGGGATAACAGGTGCGTGCCACCATACCCAACTAAGAGATGCATTTAAAACCTTATAACTTTCAAAAGATTCTACTTGTTGTTGTTTAATCCATAATGAAACATGACAGACATTTCTGTGTAAGTCCATACAAAGATATGTCTAGACTAGCTGTTGTCCTAGTATGGTTCTTCCCTAACTTCTAGACTACATTTGCAGTGGTCACCTGCTTCTGGATGGCCTCAGCATACAGAAAGCATCACTGAAGTGTGAAGTGTGGTTTTTATTTGAAGTCAATTGCTTTGTAGCTGGTGTTTGTTTATCAGATAAACTTCTTTTATAAAAGAGTTGACAAGTCTTAAGGAAAATGGGCCTAACACCAAATCTGGTTGGACTAATGACTTCTAAGATCTTCTTAGCTCTGACAGAAAATTATTCAAAAGATAGCTTTGAAGATGGTGAACCAAACCACAAACTGGGCACCTTCTTTGTAAATGCATCCTGATGGGCAGCAGCCTGGAGGACAGGGTGAGACCCTCCCATGGAATGATTGTGATCCACAATTCACAAAACCACCAGACAACACTAGTGGGCGAGTCTATTAAAAGCTGTTGTAATACATTCTAGAGGCAGTGAGAGATGGATTCATCACTTCTTTTCATCTATGAGTGGTCAGCAGTGGGGCAGTAATGTATGCAGGAGAGGAGCACAGGACATGGACGATCCAGCTGTTTTATAGGCAGCTAAAACATACATGCATTGTCCTGGTGCTCTTTCAAGATCAGGAGTTGAGAAGAGTAATTCTACACTTACTTTTTTGAAAACAACACTGATACCCTGATACTGCACTTTAAAATGATAGGTTTTGCCTTAAATGTATATTTGTTTAAAAAGCAGAGAGTTTCTGAGCAGTCTGACTAGTACAACCACCTTTCCTGTTCTTACAGGGCTCCTCACTGTTCCTTCTCTCCCACAGCTCCAGAGGTGACCTGTGCTTGGGACCTGGTGTTCATCATCCCCCATCACTGCTCTGTGCCAGCCAGGCAGGAGGGATCTCCAAGTGCAGGACAAATGGGAGTGAAAAGGTAGGACAGAATCCAGGAGGAAGGAGGGTGAATCCATTTGAACAGCCCTCCTGGCTCTGGTGGCCTCTTCCTCACCACAGGTCACATCCCAGCAGGGGTGGCGGAGAAGGATATGTGTGTGTGTGTGTGCAGAGAACAGACTCACCCCCTCCTATCATGGTTTCAACCTCCCCTCACCCTCAGCTCCTTGCTGGAAAGATGAATTGAGCTGCCTAGAATTCTGAGGAAGCAGAGGAATCTGTGAGCTGCTGTTACTCTGGATCAGTGCAGGAGGGACTGAGAATAGAACTGAAATTCGGTCTGGGATCACAAAGCCTACTTTAGAGTCTGCTTACCTAGGCATTGAGGAGATCTGTAATTTGATGCCAGGATGATTATCCTGTCCTGCCTTGGTTATTTGGGGTGTTGCTGGAACCTGGTCCCTCTCATTTGGAGGAAGACAGGACTCTCCAGATTCCACCTTCTTGGCCAGTTCTTCCATTGATGTGATATTATTTATAGCAACAAAAGAGTCAGAGGCGGTTCCTGTGTATGTAAGGAAAGGAAGGAAAATAAAATGTAGCAATTTAACACTAACACCTAAGATCAATAAAATGAAAACATAATGTATACAATGATTCCCTAGTGATCCTCATGAACTCCATATATTATTAAATAAAGAGTGAATGAGTCAAAGTGGCACTTATAACTACTTTTTCCTGAAAGCCCCATAACAGTGTCCACTGACATCAGGCCATGCTGCTAACCACATGGCCCCTGGGCCTGGATAACCTTTCAACAGTGAGCACATCTCTAGTCATTACCCTTGAGAGCTGTTGTACAGACTGATGGCCCTTACACCAAACCACAGATTGATTTTCTTGACTTACTTGACCCAATTTCCCAACCTTCTCTCTATCCAGGGATGACCACATGGTTATTACTTTAGACAGTGAGTAAAAAATACTTTGTATTAGCTTAATTTTCATGATATTTCAATCACAATAACCAAGATGAAAGGAAATAAGCTAGACTAAGACAGGTTGAGACCCTAAGAGTATCAGTTGGCTGATAGGCAGCAAAGGAATGAATTCCTGCCCTTTGAAGAGTGTGCTTTGTGTTATAAATACAATGTCAAATATCTGAACTAAAGTATTACTCCAGAGTCTACTAGTGAGCTTATCTATTCTATGACTTTATTTCCAAAAGCAGTGGGCCACATAGCTATAATTTCTCAGTACTTGTTTCCTAGTTAAATATATTCTTAAAGGAAACAGTTTCTTTTTGGTACCGGGGAATGAATTCGGGACTTTGTGCTTGTGAGGCAGGCAGTGCCTGAGGCTAAATCCCTGGCCCTTAAAGGAAATAGTTTTGTCACCTTATAAGAAGTATGCATTTTATTTTTTGAAGATAGCTTTTTCTTCTCTCTGTTCATAAAACAAGTGCCACAAATGGTAATAATATGCCTCTCATTAAGTTTGGCACACTGGCTGTCATAGGAAGACAGTTTAAAATCTCTATCCTAAAGGATAGAAATCTCTATCCTTTAAACGTTCCGACCAAGGATAGAGATGTTAAGAGACTCTTGAGATGGCTATTTAAAGAGACAGCATGAATTTAGATGAGTGTTGGTGGTTTTACTATGATTAAACACAGAACTTAAACAAGGCACCTTTCCCTTTTGCCTGAGTCTCTTTTGATAAAGTCATTTGTCTTCTTCCACTAGAACTCCAAGAAAGTGGGGCACTTTGGGTTGCTGTGGTGGAAACAACCTTTGTTCAGTGTTGGGCACATACATACTTATAATAATAGAAATAAACTAGTTGATGGCAATGGCTGAAAAGGTCAGGCCACAGAGACCAAAAAGTGAAAGGCATACTAGGAGATTATAAAAATAACAGTACCTTCGGTAGTTCTGTTTTGATCTTGCAAAATATTAAGAACAACTTCTCTCAAGTCTTGTATTGGCTAGAGGGAAGAAAATAAAATAAAGGAGTATTATTAATAGCATTCATGGGAAAAAAAAAGAGTCAAGGGACTTTGTATAACATCAAATAAACTTCCGGTAATAAAAAATGTTTCCTTTGAAAAATCTCTTGTCTATCTATAAGCAACATTTAAAAGGTTATATAATTTCATGAGAAAAATGAAGGAATAGAGAAAATGCTGGTTAAAGGTTGGTGTTGACTTCAGAGAAAGATGTTTAAAGTTGTCTTTTTTTTTTGTTTTTTTTTTAGAGACAGGGTCTCACTCTGTAGTTGAGACTGTCCTGGAACTCACTATGTAGCCCAGGCTGGTCTCGAACTCACAGCAATCTTCCGGCCTCAGCCTCCCGAGTGCTGGGTTTACAGGTGTGCGCCACCATGCCCGGCTCTAGTGGTCTATAACAAAATTTCTCTAAATAAAATTCTGTTTTCCTGTCAACTTACATCATACTATATAAGATGCTCCCATGTAGTTGAGACTGTCCTGGAACTCACTATGTAGCCCAGGCTGGTCTCGAACTCACAGCAATCTTCCGGCCTCAGCCTCCCGAGTGCTGGGTTTACAGGTGTGCGCCACCATGCCCGGCTCTAGTGGTCTATAACAAAATTTCTCTAAATAAAATTCTGTTTTCCTGTCAACTTACATCATACTATATAAGATGCTCCCATGTGAAGATTCTGGTTCAAAGAGTTAAGTATCATATAGAAAACATATCACCTATTTTTAGTGTTATCTCAGTTTAATTCTTATTTTCATCATAAAAGTCATACACCTCATTTCAGAAAAATTAAACAGTAGGTTAAACAAGAAAATCACTAATATTCTCATCATCTAAATACAATCTTTGTTAGCATTTTAGGTAATTTTCCTCAGCATTTCCTTTCTTCTTTTTTTGGTAAAACAATATACCTTAGAAAAGAAGTTTATGGAAAAGTAATTTTCAAACAAAATGATTTGAGACAGCTTTCATATTTTCCAAGTATAGAAACCATACAACAAAACAAAACATCATGAAATGAATTATACCTTTTCATAGGAACACTATAGTTGGAGATTTGTCTAACTGACATGGAATTCTGTATCAAATTAACAACAGATATATACTGACAATAAGACCTAAAAAGCAAAACTTTCTATAGTTTAAAAAAAAATCTAAAATGTAAATTATGGTTTAAGCTTAAGATGTTTGGAAAAAATGTACAGAATACGGGGCAACTGTCTGAATTCTATAACACAGTCAAGTATATAGGCTTTTGGTTAGAGATAGTAGCTTGCACATATGTTAATTCTTTTGAAACACTACTGAATAGATAATAAGGGGATTAAAAAGAGGCAATAACTACAAAGAATAGGAGAGAACAAATAGCTATGAGATTTAGAAGTTGGGACACAGAAGGAAGAGAAGTAACCAACGTGACCAACTTGAGCACTCAGGATCCTGAGTTGGCAACTGTGGCTGAGGAAGGACCTTATTAATCCCACAGAGCTGCTGAAAGGTGCAGGAATAGCAGGTGGGGTGCAAATCAGGAGGATTCAGAGCATGTGTTCTAAAAGAATCAGACCATCAAATCCACCCTGCATCTTGAACTCCCTGCAGCCTGCTAACTGCACCCCACACCTTGGGATATATTCCTCTAGTCCCTGGGAGACATCATGCAAGATTGGGGATGGGCACCTACTGGAAAAGGGGTAAGTCAAAGAGACTCTCACGTCTCTTCTTCTTCACACCACTGGTAGCCTGGTTTTTAACTTCCAGGAAGGAGATTAGAAGAGGCTTTCCTAGAGAAGCTAACTTTAAAAGGACAGGTCTAAAGGTACTGATATTGAGGCTTCTTTACTAAACCATTGATACCAGATCACTCTATGGTAAAGCCCCATCCATGTATCCATGGCTTTGAAATCTGTGTGCCATTTCAAATCCAGCTCTTACATGCAAATAGCACTAAGAGACTAGCATCTGAATAAAGCCTTTAGTGAATAATAGAGAAAAAATAACATAATAATAAAAATGAGAGAGAGGGAGAGACAAAGTGAAGCGAAGTACTGGAGCAGAAGTGGGCAATGTAGGAAGAAGAGAAGTTGCTATGGGCTCTAGGAGGCAAGAACAACACAAGAAGGATGTCCAGTTGGGAATAAACTGGAAAGGTCTCAAAGAAAAGAAAAGAAAAGAAAAGAAAAAAATCTGACTTTCAAAAGTACTTAGTAATGGGCCCAGGATTTAGCTCAGTGGTGACTCTGCCTGTCTCACAAGTGCAATCCTGAGTTTGATCCCTGGTACCAAAAAAAAAAAAAAAAAAAAAAGGACTTAGAAATTTAGAAAAGAGTATGGTGCATGGAGAGTAAGTGCGAAGGCAAAATAAGACAACAATTAATTATAGGAAAAGTAGAAGTGTTTGAAAGGCAGTAACCACAGAACATACTACAGGCGTCAACATATTCATATATTTCTTACATATTCATAAAAATATGAAGACTAAATAAAGTGACCAGAATTCCTATGTGACTGTAATGGAGCATGAAGGATGGCAAAGTTCCAGGAGGATGACAGGTGGGCGTGTGTGTGCACGTGTTGGGAGATTTGTGTAGGTGAGTGTGAAGGGGTTAAAACCTCATCCTGCATAACCAGAGGTCTACAGATTATGTCTAAAACTGATACATCAAAACCCAGCAATATACACATGTTTTCTGAAACTATAGAGGTAAAAATATTAAAATAATCAATGTGTTCCGGGAAGTGGAAAATGGGAGGGGAAGGAGGCAGAGGTTTTACTGAATGAACCTTACTGATTACTTGACTGTTGAAATGGTGTGCATGTAATACTCTGAGAACAATCACAGAAACAGGTACTGTAGATTAGTAGCATGAAATGGAAAATGACATTTAAAACTTATAAAATATTTGATGCAGTTCTTGTTAAAAAATTACATATGCTTTTCCCCTACGTTTTAGAGTTAAAAAATTATTTAATATATTTTTAGGTTCTTTATAATTGGATATTGATGTTATAATTGTCTGTGCTATTTTGCTATTATTATTATTATTTTTTTTGGTACCGGGGATTGAACTCAAGTTCTTGTGCTTGCGAGGCAGCTGCGGAACCACTGAGCTAAATCCTGGGCCCCTATTGCTTGTTTTTAAAAATGGTATCGGGGATCGAACTCTGGCCCTTGTGTTTGGGAGGCAGGCCATGGAACCACTGAGCCAAATTCCCTGCCCTTTTTTTTTTTTTTTTGTTACTGGGGATCCAACTCAGGACCTTGCACTTGCAAGGCAGGTGGTGGCACCACTGAGCTAAATCCCTGGCCTGCTATTACTTTCCATAACTGCATATTTCTACAATTAGTGTTAAAGGGACACAGTCACTTGTCAAGAAAATTGATTCTAGGGGCTGGGGATTTAGCTCAGTGGTTTCTCCACCTGCCTTGCAAGTGCAAGGTCCCGAGTTGGATCCCTGGTACCAAAAAAAAAATAAAATAAAATAAAGAAAACAGATTCTATTGGTTTAATTGGTTTACACATCATATTGCTGCCTATTAAATATTAAAATATGTTCACCAAAGATATATTCTATTTCATATTCTGTGTATAACTTTATGAAGTGAGTTAAAAGTTTAATACTGCATTATACAATTATCATATTACAAAGAAGAGTGAGACCCTACAAAAGACAATTTTAAGAAGTTACCCACCCAAGACAGACACTCACTTTTGCTCCATTTTTAATGGCCTCTTCGTATAGTGCAATAACATCAAAGGTACCTTGTCTTGCCAACAGCTTTGCTTTGCAGATCCAGAATTTAGCAAATTTTTCAGCCTCAGGAATGTTGGACAAAATGGTAAATATTTCATTAGAAAGTACACCCTGGAAAAAAAGAAAATACCCAGAGGCAATTAGTACCATTTCATCATTACTTTCACATCTCCTAATATTTATCACAGAAGACATGCAGACGTTGATCTAAGCTTTTAAAAATTTCAATTTTACCACGGAATAACGTACATATAACAAAATGTACCTATTTTAATTGTATGTTTCAATGACGTTGCACAGTGTTCATTAGATTTTAAGAGTTACATGAGACAAACAGAGAGAAAAATATTTATCATAGCAGAAGGCAAGGAATATGTTTTACATTTTTATGCAGTGAAAAAGCAAAAACAGGGTGTAGCTCAGTGGTAAAGCACTTGCCTAGCAATGTGTGAGGCCCTGGGTACAAGCTGCAAAAGTGAAAACAAACCCTAGAGTTATCAACAGTTTTTATGTAACAATCACAATACTATATATTTATAAATAGGAACAGTGAATAGTGGCCATAATTTCTACATGACTCTTAACAGCAGAATGAAGGATGGCACAGGTATGCAAAGGTCAGGGGTGTTCATGTGGGTGTATGCGGGATTCACTGCAGGTGAATATGAAAGTGCTGATTTCCCACACAGGAACTTTGCAATGGCTTCTGTCATGGCAGTGATATGGACCAGGAGGAAGGGGGAGCTACCACCATCAAAGCCAAGGTATTGGTTCACTCAGGCAGGCAGCACCTCCTGCTCCTCTAGAGATGTAGGGGACACCAAGGTAAACTCACAATTAAAAAAATGAGAATCAAGACCTCTTATGTAAAGGTACAGAATCCCAATGATGAATGTAATTATATTGTATACCTAGATTGTACCAATAAACTCAATAAAAAAAAATCACCAATATTTGGGGAGGCATAAAACTCAAAAAAAGAATAAACACTGGAGCAAAAAATTGAGGGAGCGAGCAAAGGGGAATAAAATTTTAGAGTATTAGTCATTATCTTTAGAGTGATAAAAGAGAATACTGACACCAATAGACTCAAATGGGTTGTTTAAAAAAAGACTCATAGAAGGGCAGAACATAGATGGACAGTGTGAAAGAATGAATTCATGAGCTGAAAATTCAGCTGTGTAATCCTCCCAGAACTCAAGAAAACAGAACAAAGAAATGAACAGTATGGAATAAAAATTTAGAGTTCTGAAGGACATATCTATTATTCAGTAATTCCAATATCCACCTAAGAGAATTCCTAGAAGGAAATCTTAAGTGAAGAGATCTGAGCATATACCACAGCAGCTGCAGAAGGAAAATTTTAAGAACTGAACAAAGAAATAATTGTTTACTTAACAGGACTTTAATGTTCCTGTGGAAAGTCAAGAAGGATGAATGAAAAAATATTAGTGTTCAGTAAACCAAGGATAAACAGAAAATATTTAAAGCTCTGAGAGAAGGAAAAAAAAGGGTTTACCATTAGAAGAATGAGATTCAGGTTGACATGTGGCTTTAATAAATTAACCGAGGATGCAAGAAAGAAAGTAAAGCAGTAACTTCAAATTTTCCAATCTGAAATTAGAAAATTTCCTCAGCCAGATTGTGATTATAACATGAGGGCTAATGAATGTCATTTTCACAAGCACTAAGGACTCAGAAAATTTATTGTTCAAAAATCATAAAGTTACTAAGAAATAAACTTTAGAGTTCACACAACAGACTTGAAACAAAATTGTAAGAGTATAATATAAAAACATGCAAACTATGTTTGAACTTACACCTATCATTTTATTTTATTTCAATTGATTATTACCTTTATGAAATAAAACTGTATGAAACATAGAAATGAGGGGAATAAACAAAAGTGGATTCAAAGATATTGAATTATAAAAGAGCACGTTAAGTTTAAACATGAGTACTACATATATGTGTATGGGCTATATTTGCTTTTTACAAGCAGAGAGTTTCAGATCTGGTCAAAAATTTCAGCTGTACACATGTATATAGTACATTCCTAAAATAAACTCAGAAAACTTTAAAATAAAGGGGTGAAAAAAATTCTGTCAGACAAAATCTTACAGATGGCAAGATTAATATCAGACAAAAGAGAAATCAAAGCCATTTGTGAATCTTTAGGCACCTAACATGGCTTTGAAAACCAGAGAGCTAAAATTGACAGAATTACAAAGAGAAGTTGTGGATGACTAAACCTAGAGAAACTTCAGTGTATTTTTTTCAGAAAGTAACACATTTAGTGAATAAATAGATTATATATCCTTTTCAAATACCTTTGGAACATTTACTAAGAATGATTAGACATTAAGATCACAAGGAAAATTTCAATAAATTCCATAAAGCAGAATAAACACAGGCCACAGTTATTAACCATACGGTATAACTGGAAGTTAACATAAAGATAGCAAGAAAAATATCTACAAATCTGGAAATTCAGATATATTTTCTAAGAAGACTTTTGGGTTAAATTAGAACTCAACATGGAAATTTCTAACCATTTAGAAATGAACAATGAAAACATGTATCTGTTATTAAGTTGCTGTCTCTTAGCTCCAGGCACACCTGTCAATCACCCTCTGCTTTGTGATGTTGGAGAGGGAACTCAGAAAGGACTTTCTGCTTGACAGCAGCTTCCGCTGAGCAGTGCCAGTAGTGGGCACTAGGGGGAGACAGCAGGGATGGAGAAGGGAGGAGAGACCATTCTTCACATTTGCTTTCATTACCCCAGCAATGTTCTCTCACCCTGGCGGCACAGGCCTGTTTTAACCTCCCCCTTTTTCTGGCAGTCACAGATCCCACCTCACTGTAGGATCTCACTGTGCTCCTCTGGAAACTGGAGCAGCCTTTCCTCAAGATCTGAGCCCATACTGGGAAGACTCTTCTCTTGCCTGAGCTACCAGCAGCTGCTGGGTAGTATGTCCTCTAGAGTTCAAGTCCCATGTCCACCTGGGTTCATCTTTCCTAGTGTAATAATTAAAGTATTTATTTGGCTCTCCTCCATTTCCTGACATGCAACTCTTAAAATTCCTGCCACCTCCAAGGATACATGTCTTTCGTATGCTAATGACTAAAAGACCAGAGGTAGATGTCAAGATGGAAGCTGGCCACTGGAAAGTCCAAGATAGGATTAGAGCGTTGGGACTTTCAGTGCCTCTGCTTCCAGTTTTGGGGAAGGATTGAAGGTGAAGCTGACCACCAGTGGAGATGATTTGATCAATTGTGCCTACGTCATGAAGCCTCCCTAAAACTCCAAAAGGTCAGGGTTCAGGGAGCTTCTGGAGAACGGAACACATGAAGGTTTCTGGAAGGTGGTACGCACGGAGAAGGTAGACAAGCTCTGTGTCCTTTCCTGTATGTCTTGCCCTGTCTGTGTCTTCATCTGTATCCTCTGTAATGTCCTTTATAACATGTAGACAATTTAAGTAAAAAAAAAAAATTTTTTTTTTTTCATTTCTGTGAGCAAATTAGTCAAACTGGAGGAAGGGGTAAAACTCCTGATTGATAGGAGTTTTTCACAGGTAAAGCAACTGGGGCTTACAATGGACATTAGAAGTGGGAAAGGGACAGTTTTATGGGATCAAGTTCTCTACCTGTGGGATCTGATACTATCTCTACATAGAGAGTATTAGAACTGAATTGAATTAGAGGGTACCCAGCTGTCTGCTGTAGAATTGGCTGATGGCTTGGTGTGTGGGGAAACACAGAAGTATTTTATGTTGACTGCTGAATGAGATAACAAGAAAAGCATTTGGTGTAGTTCTTCCCATATACTCTCTAGCTCTCTGTTTTCCTAGGCCCCATGGTACTAGCTGCTTCCTGCAGTTACTGCCACTGTTGCCTTAGTTTCCTTTTTTTGCTATTAGCCCTGCATGTCACATATGGATGTCACTGTGTAATACATGTTCCTTCTGGTCCCTTTATCATTTTGTGTACCCTGGTTCACAGTGTGCTCTCATTTCTAATAGCTAGTATCTTGCCTTTGTCTCTGTGTCCAATGTCAGCAATGCCTGGGAATTTTTGTCTCCTCAAGGAAACCATTAACCATTAATAAATAACCATGACAGTATTAATGCTGCAGCTCCTTTACCTATGCTTGGGATGACTGAGAGGTGTGGCTTACACGGTCTCCTGACGTCTCCATGGGACTGTGTCATGGTCACCCTCCAGGGACTAGCTTGACATCACACCCTGTTGGCCTCCAGCCCTGCCTGGTCTCACAAACTCACCTCATTCCCAGTTTTTCTTGGAAACTTCTTCCTAATAAATTACTTACACACAAATCTTCCTCTTAAGAGTCTGTTTTGAGGGAATACACGAGTAGCGAATCTCAACATTATATTCCTTATTGAGATATTTTTGTGACTTAATCCTGACTGATAAAACGTATTAGTTAAATCTGAGGGATATGATCAAAAGAGAATTAAAGAGGTAAATTTATAGTATTAAACGTATTTGTGAGAAAATAAGAAAGATGGACTTAAATCATCTAAATTTTCAACTAAAAAGCTAGAAAAAGAACAATAAACCTAATAGGTGTGATGAAGTCAGAGAGCACTATAGGGACCCTTCACCTGTTGCTCATTAAAAACTGTGTTTTCTTCTGAGGCCGACAGGGACTTAAAAGCAGTTATTGCTAAAATGTATGACTCTTCCCTTGGGTCTACAAATGCCCAATAGGTAACTATAGGAGAATCAAGGTCGACCTTCATTTTTTAATCCTTTATTACTTTAAAACTTTGGACATAGTCAACAGAACAGAGTTTATTATCCCTAAACTTACTAGACTATCTCATCCCCCTTCAAGTTGGAAGACACCAAGGTAGGAGAAACTAAAGTAATTTTCAAGATTCATGGGGACATCCAATTACCAGCTTTTATAGAATTCAGTTCCAGATCCTTCCCCATTAGACTAACACCTAAAAGTCTCTAGCCATTGTCCTGAGCTAGTGGTCACCTGGGTCCGAGAAAAAAAAGACACAACGTTAAGACAAACTGCCATGAAGACAATCATTTCATAGTGAGGCAGGAGGCAGAGAGGAGAATTTCCTGAAAGAAGGGGGCCTGAAGGCCAGAGGAGAAAAGAAGCTGGCTCTCCAAAAATCAGAGTGCTCAGTTCTGACACCTGTACTACAGCTGGGAAAGACAAGAAGGTGCACACGCTTAGGCTTCTGGGGAGCCCCATAGAAGCTCTTTAGAAACCACAGAGTACCCACCTCTAACAATTAAGCCTGCTTGAGGACACATGCACTACTTGTTTCAGTCCTCAACAACTGCAATTATAAAAAATTATAATCTACATTGTGGTTTGAATCCCTCCACCTCCACCCCTGTTGTGGGCTCTGAGCACCATGACATTTCCTTAAAGGTCCATATAGCAACAAACATTTTGCTTTCCATCAGAAAGGAAGAGATCTGTCCCTGATTGGTGTGAACTGCCATGCCAGTTCAAAGATCTACCCCCGCCCCTGAAAAAACCACATATAAACCATAGATGGCAAACCTTTTAGAACTTTCAATGATACAAACAGCCTGCTGTGGCATGCTTGCCATAGGTTCACCACCACTAATGCAGACTCTGATACCTGGCTTCTTTGGGGCTATGAGCTTTTTTCAATGACTCATTCCCACCCTCAGGAGCATATCCTGACTAACAATCTATGATTTCACTTCTACTTCTGTTTTTTTGGGTACCGGGGTTCGAACTTGGGATCTTGCACTTGCAAGGCAGGCAGTAGAACCACTGAGCTAAAATCCCGGCCCTCACTTCTACTTCTGTGGGGCCTGCTCAATTCTTTGTTCAGGAGGCCAAGGACCCAGGTCTGTCAGAACCTCAGATAACAATGAGGATAGAACCACTTCTCAAACCATGATTCTTCTAGAGCTACACTAGGGCTGATAATCCTTAATATCATTCTCCTGTGTTTGTGGGTGGGCCAACCCAGTCTTTTCATCAGAGTGTCTGTCTACTCTCCAGCTAATACTCAAGCTGTAGTTCTTTATCTTTTCTTGTACTTTCCAATTAATGCTTTTTCCTGTAAATTCATATTGTTGTTTTAGTTTTAATTTCTATTATCATTAAAGCAAAGACTCAAGTTAGCCAATAACAAATGCAGACATGAATGCACAAGAAAAAGTTTTCAATAAAACTCAAGACACTCTTTTAAAGGGATTATTGAAAAATATTTGGCAAGTTTGATTTTTTAAAAAGGCGCAGACTTTACTATAGTTGGCTCAAGAAATAAGAAAACTTATAGACCAATGACCACAGAAAAAATTGAAAAGATATATATAAAAGTAGCACAGCCCAGATGATTTTATGGAAGTTCTTACCAAACCTTCACAGAAAAGGTAAAATACTTATTTGACAAAATCAGCATAATACTGAGACTAGGAAAACACAAAACTAAAGAAGATATATGAAAGTGTGAAATAAAATAATTGAAACTAGCAGTACTAGAGATTGAACCAAGGGGGTTCTCAAAATTTTGAGATACCAAGTCACTAATTTGACTAGTCTTGGCTTGAATTTATAATCCTCCTGCCCAGCCCATAGTACCTGGATGACACCCACATGCTAATGTCTGGCTGGGCCAAAACTCTCGGAGCTCATCTTCCTCACTTACCTCTTCAATGAGCCGCAGACACTCTGTTAGAGTGCTGTTAATCTTATTGGACAGTTCCAACTGTGCTTTCTTTTCTTCCTCTTCTTCTTCAATGCTCTTCCAGAATGAAATATTCATTTCATCTATTACTTTTTTTTTTGTTTTAAATTCCATAGGAGGCCGTTTATAGACTTTCCCCTTCGATTTTTGCCATTCTTCTAGCTGTTTCCTGTTATGCAATTAAAGGTGGGGAGAGCATGGCTTTAGTTTTTTTCTTTATACATGGTCTAGCTTCTAAAGTATATGATATGCAGTGGTCAGTTATAACTAAACCTTCAATTATAGAAAAAGTCAAGAGATTAAAAAACAATTTCAAACAGGTAATGGCAATACTGGATTGTTCCCACCCATGAGAAGGCAAGATGTTGGGCTGGGCATAGTGGCTCATGTCTGTAATTCCAGTGCACTGGAGGCTGAGGTAGGAGGATCACCATGAGTTTGAGGCCAGCCAGAGCTATATAGTGAGTTCAACATCAGACTGAAAAATACAACAAGATCCTGTCTCAAAAACAACAAAAACCCCTAGAGGTAGACATTAGGATAACTAGGGTTTCATACAGCGAGATAATAGCCAGCACTTGAAATACCTTAGCTTCATGATCATTCCTCATCATTTTTCTCAGACCCACTCCCTCTGGTGCTCCATTTCCCCCACTATAAACTTGTTACCTGTTACACAAGCCACACCCGCACAAATAGCATTCTGCCATTAATAGGGTCTTGGTGGTCAAAGTGATCAACTTCACTTAGTTCCTTACCCCTCTCCTGACCACACACAATTGCCTTCCTTTCAGAAACTAAATCACTAATTTCAGGGCTCTTCTTTTAAGTAGCTGGTAGTGTCAAGTCCTAATCTTTTATCTTCTACTATTCATATTCTGCACTCTTGCTTCTCAGGAGGCACTCCTCTACATTTTGGGGGCAGAGACCCCAAGACTTGTAGACCCAAGTGTTGAGATGTAGGCTGTCTAGTTTCTTTAAATTGTAACTATGCATTAATGATGTGGAAGTGTACACTTTATCTTAGATTTCTAAATTTAATATTATCCAAAACAAAGTTATTGACTTTCATCTCTAAATCTGTTTCCAGTTTACTTTATAAATAGTATCCCAGTGTACCTAGTTTCTAGGGTCTAAACTTAGGAGCTGTCTTGAGCTGTTTCTCTCATACCTACACATCACTGAAAGATTCAGTGGTGCTTCTGTCTACACTGCCACCATGCTGATCCATACCCTTGTCATTACTGTTGGAAAAGCTGCAGCAGTCTAATCATCTGGCTTCCACTCTAACCTTATCAAATTCGCTGCATAGTAACTGACCTATAAAGTAAAACAGACTGTATCACTGCTGAGGAATTCCCACGACTACTGGAATGAAATTCAAAATGTTCTCTATGGGTTAAAAGCACAGTCTAATCTGGCTTCTGTGTAGTCTCCAACTTCATGTCACCCCACTCACCCTCTCACTCAGTACCCCCAAGAGCTCTGGCATCATTTCAGTTTCTTAACCCATGTTCATTCAGGTACTTGCATCAGTCATCTACTCAAACAACACTTCCCTGAAAACTAATTATCTACCATTTTCCTGACTAATTTAATCAATGTATTGACCTTTTGTCTCCTCCACTAGAACATAAGTTCTATGAAAGCAGCAATAGATGTCCAGTGCCTAGCACTGTGCTTGGCACATACAATTATTCAACACATATGGTAAAATTCACCACTGTTAAGTGTGTGATTCTGTGAGTACAAGTGTGCCAAGTCATGTAACCATAACTATAATCAAGATGTGAACCTGTCCTAAAACCCTAAAAAATTCCCTCAGGGTACTTGGTAGTCGACCCTGCCTCTAATCCCAGGTCTTCTCTAGAAATCATTGGTCTGCTTTTGTCCTTATAGATTTGCTTTTTTTCCAGAATGCCAATAATTTTTAATACATGGATGCCATCCGCTCTTTCATTTCTCTCCCTGTTTCTGGAGAACAATTCATTCAGTGCTTATTTCTGTCCTGATTGTTCCTCACTCACTCCTTTACTTCAACCATTTACTTCATGATAGAAGTTGGGATATCTGACATGTGTTTCTTCCAGTTCCTGGTAATCTTCCTATCTCCTTATTCTTCCTTTGAATCATACATAAAGAGAGAACCTTCCTTTTCTAAAACCAACTTACTCCTAGGACCTCAGTATCATTTTATTTTTCTGACATTCTCCATATACACACCAAACCACAAGCTCCAGAAGGGCAGAGACTGACTGTGTTTTCCCCTCTTCATCTAACACCCGACATACTGGAGGCATGATGGACTACCTGGGGCACGAGTGATTTTAAGATTCTGTCCCTTTAGTATCAAATATGTTCAGTATGCCACACTGTCTGATGATCGCTCTATTGTCTGACGTAGACTGAAAGGTCACTTCCTTCCTTGCTCACCATCTCAGAGTCTCTGCACTCACTTTTCTTTGTGCATGGAAGGGTTCTTCTTGTCATCAGTCTTAGGTCTCAGTTCAGATGTCCCTGTTGAAAGTACCTTCCTGAACTTCGATCTAAATTGGCCATCCTAGTCCTAACCTCTTAATCACATCATTGAATTCAACTAATTTGTTTCTGCAGGAGGGCAAAGAGCTTGCTAGTGTGTTCAGGGCTGCATTTGGGGATTAAGTCCTGCACTCAATTCACCCACACCCACACGTTGTAGCTCTCTATTAACTCTATATGCTCTGTCCCCCTTGTCAGGAATCTCCATTCTTTCTACTGCAGTCAGGTATGTGTATGTGATTCTCTTGGGAGGTTCACCCACATCGTGAGACTATTTCTAGTCTTGGGCAGAAAACATATAAAATCTTTTCAAACATCAAGAATATTAATAATAAGCCCGAGCAACCTGAGATTCTGATTTTCATCATCTTAATGCTGTTAACAGTTCCTTTCTGCTTTAGTTTACTTTCCAAAACTTGACCTAGTCAGACTCATGAAGTCTGTTTCCTGTTTCTCCTTCCTTGATAAATCTACGGGACTTAATCACTGGTCTGCTTGGCAAGGGACAACCATCTTCCTAGTTCCTACCTCTGTGCATCCTAACTCCTACCCTGCCCTGTTCTATTGCTCTCCAATACTTCCTGAGTAGACTACATCAATAGCTGTTTCTTACTCATACATTCTCTGTATTTCAATTTTTAAAAAAAAACTATTTTAAGCATATATAAAGTTAGAGAATGATTTGTAACACATACATGTACCATCTAGCTGCCAAGTCTTAATATTTATTATAGTTGTTTCAAATCTTTTTTTCAGGCAGTAGCTAAGAATTACTTAGGAGCTACTATTTATGACCTATTTCCTAACCAACAATTTTGTTTTGTATATCTACAAGCATTTATTTTATTTTCACTTAATTTTCAAGGAATAAAGGAAAACATACAACCATTTTAAAAACTGTATGATTGCCCTCTGGTTGTTGTTATTTACAATACTTCTGTGTGGTCTTGAGACATTTAAAAACTGTTCTCTCTGGAGAAGTGGTCCTAATTCCCATAAGCAGACTTAATGGCTCTCTTCTCCCTATTCCTACATCTTTTTCTCCTAGACATTTAATATAGTATCACTAGGCATGATCTACTCTTTTTGTCCATGCTGTGGATTGAACTCTGGGCTTCACACATGGTAGGCAAGTGCTTTTACCAATGAGCTACATCCCACCCCCTACAATCTACTGTAATAAACTATTGTTCACATGTTTTTTTCTTGGTACTGGGGACCAAACTCAAGCCCTTGCACTTGCAAGGCAGGTGGCAGAACCACTGAGCCAAATCCCTGTCCCCTAACCAATGATTCTTGGTAGTCAATTTGCCCAATTATTTTAAGCTGAAAACCTTGGAATTAAAACAATGTACCTTCGATCCTCTGCTGTTGTCTTTTTAATATTTGGATTAGTTTGGATAGCATTTGGGACTCCTCTCCCATTTCTGGTTGTGACACTAGCTTGAGTTTTGGGAGCTGTCTTGCTCAGGAAATGCTTCTGGGGAACAGTCTTTTTAAACTTGGGGTCCAAAGTCTGTGCTCTCTGTTGAAAGCTGTTGGTTCTATTTGCTCTTATGCTAGGAATGCTTGGGATGACTGAATTAAACTTGCCTGCTATCAAATTAGCCCTCTGGTTTACAGATTTTGATTTTTGCAGTACACATATCTGGGGTCTAAAACAAGGTTGCGTGGGCTTCTGATCTTGCTTAATGTTTGGATGTTTGCTGTTAGGTCCTCCATGCAGCAAATTGGGGTATGTCCTGGGTTTGGCATATTTTAATTTCTCTTTAGTAACAGTATATGATTGTACCTTAGTTTCTTTTGGTTGTTCATATTTATCCAAGTCAACCTTTACATCCTTTATGTTCTTGACCACTGGTTTTTTTGATGCTTGAGTCCTACCAGGGGTCTGAATAAAGTGAGAGGGGACTGTCCTGGGGGGTTTTTCTGGTCTTGCAAGGTCTGTTCCTTTAGAGAGGTGTTCCTTTTCCGGTACAGTCCTTATTTGTGTTTTTCTAACAAATTGTTTATTATTAACCCTGTCTTTCAGAACAGCACCAGTCACCAAACTTTTGCCCAAGACTTGTTTAGGAGTCAAACTGCTCTTGGTTTGATTATAAGAGTTATTCTTTGGCTTACTTGTGGTACATAATGTAGGATTTGGCTTCTTCTCAGGTTGTGATAAGGTTTGAGGCAAGTTCTCTTTGTTCAGCTCTTTAAGAAAGCCATCCAAAGATTTGTTTTCCACATAGTTATTATCTACAGAGTCTGTACATTTTGTATTTGCTTGATCTGTTACCTGCTGCTTTGTAGTTTTTGGTTTCTGTGCATTAGGTGACCTCATCGGTTTTCTCGACAATTCTCCTTTAGCAGATGATCCAGCTTCACATTGCTGGTGACTCTTGTTGGAAGGTTTACATTTTGGGTTGGAAGAAAAACCTCTTGAAGTCAGACTTTTGCTCACATGTTTTGGTGCCTCCAACTTCGGCTTCTGGGATCCTGTTATATTAGTTGGTCTGGACTGGAGTTTAACGCTAATGGGTCTGGTAGCTTTGATAGACAAAACAGCATGGTTGAGAACATCCTTTTTGGGTTTAATGGTCTGAAAGGACAAACAAACAAAAAAGTAAGCTCACAGTACCAGTTAAGGGGGGGAAAAAAAAGCTGTGTTACAGGTTAAAAAAATCAAAAACTATCTTGTCCCTGAAGATCAACCACAAAATAGTAAATTGGTGGGAGATACCGGGAGGCCTGAGATACACTGAGTCATATTTTAGGAAATATCTAGCATCTTGGCAGAAAGTTAGTCATTATGAAGTCAGTCAGGAAAAGATTTTAAGGTTAGACTCTTCATGATTAATAAGTGTGAGTTTTAGCCATGTGATTTAATTTTAGATAAGAAAGGGAGAAGGTCATAGGAAACTTTGAAACCTAGGGCAGGGAATTTAGAAATGACACCATAAATATAGGAGCAAGCCACCATGGACTTCAGAGCTTCTGAGGTGAAAGCAATTACTTAGAAAGGAGAATTTGGTATATTTAAGAATATATGTCTCCAAGGGAAGATATGGAAATGACAGAGTTACCACTGTATTTTTGATTTGACAACGTTGTAAAGGATCACTAAATAAACTTGGTGAGGAAGATAGAAAGGAAATCTGTAACTACATGCCCATTTGACCAAAGGTATCAGTGCATGAGGTGCTGCTGAGGGTAGAATAGGGAGGGTTGGAGGTGGTAGGTAGAGAGCTCTTGTCTGGGTTACTTCTTGGCCCCAATACTTACATGTGCCTCACATCTCCACATCATAGCTTACTTGAAGTAGGGACGTTGGTAAGAAAACTGATTTGCCTTATTTTTTTGTAGTACTTATATATTAAAAATACTGAAAGGGCTGGGATGTAGCACTGTGCCTGACTGGAAAGTGCAAGGTCCTGAGTTCAATCCACAGTACAAAACAAACAAAAAAACAAAAACAAAAAACCCCAAGCATATAATTCACATATCATAAAACTGACCATTAAGAATACAAATCAGCGGGTTTTTGCATATTCATAAAGTTGTATAATAATCACTATTAGGCAATGGCACAACATTATCATTGTCCTAGGAAGAAATCTGGTACTTGTTAGTTCCCCCTATCCCTCCCCTGGGAAGTTGCCCTTAGCAACTTCTAATCTACTTTCTGTATCTCTACAGATGTACCTATTTTGGACCTCTTATATACACGGAATCATGCAATATATAGTTTTTGGTGACTGGCTCCCTTTACTTAGTGTAATGTTTTCAAGATTCTCCCAAGTTGTAGCATATATCAGTGATTTTACCTTTAAGAAAATTTAATAAACTTTAGTTTTAGAGAAGTCTTAGGATAACAGCAAAATTGATCAGAAAGTACAGTGGGTTCTCATATATCTCTGTTCCCACTCATGCACTTCATTATTGTTTAGGGCTTAAAATTCATTTGTGTAATTATATACATTTTGGCTTTCCATTCATCAATGTGACTTTTTTTTTTGGTGCCGGGGATTGAACTAGGGACTTTGTGCTTGAGAAGTAGGCAGAACCACTGAGCTAAATCCCCGGCCCCATCCTTTCATCAATGAATAGACGTTGTGTATACTTTTGGGATTTTTAATAATGTTGCTATAAATATTTGTATATAAGTTTTTATGAATGTGTATTTTCAATTTTCTTGGGTATATACCTAGAGGCAGAATTTCTGGGTCATATAGCAAACCTATGTTTAATTTTAGAGGAACTGTCAAACTGTTTTCCCAAAGTAGCTGCACTAATTCACATTCTCACCTACAATATACAGTGATTCTAATTTCTCCACATCTTCCCCAAGACTTGTTGTTATCTGTTTTTTTAATTATAGCTATCCCAGTGGGTATGAAGTAGTACCACACAGTGGTTTTAATTTCCCTGATGGTTAAACATTTCATCATATCTTTATCTTCTTTAATAAATGTGTATTAAGACTCTTTACTCATATTAAAATTGGATTTTAAAAAATTTGTTAAGTTGTAAGAGTCATATATCCTGGATACTAGATTCTTATCAGGTATATGATTTGCAATGTTTCATCTTATACCTTTTTTATATCTTGATTTTAGATCAGCCTGACCTAGCTAATTTATTCTAGGTAGTAGGGCAGGTCATACTATTGCATGAGCTTCCACTTAGAGAGAAAAACTGAGCTTAGAAGAGTTATCAGGCTAGCAACTAATATGCAAATACAGAAAGATAAAACTGGAAAATGTTTTAGGTATCATTAAACCCAGCCCCTTAATTTGAGAAACTGAGGTGTCCAAGACTAGGCATGGAGTCAGAGGCTGGGTTGGAGCTAGAATTGTAGTTTCTGAACCTTGATTTCTGACTGTTTGTTTCTCAATCCACTTTAGAAATGATGGAACAAACTGAACAAAAACAGATAGTATGTACAAGGAGGAATGATTGATTCCAACTGAAATTCTCTTCATTCTGGGCATATGAAGTATGAGAAGGGAGACGATTTACAAAGGATGTAATGAGGATTTAAATCATCAGAGATTTACTAAATGTTGACTGCATGATAGGTACTGTGCTAGACTCAGGGGACACAAAGATGTAGTCATATTTGTCCCTAAGTACCTCTAGAAGAAAAGATATAAACAAAGAAAATTATAAAGCCATGAAATAAGGGGCATCTTATCAAACATTTTTTGTTCATGTACTCCCAGAATAATTTTGATGAACACCGTACCCCAGAAATTAGCTCATGTGCCCAATATTATTTATTGATATAATGAGAGGGGGCTGTGCATCATTTTTATTCCTTTTTTAAATAAGTAGCTAGGACTACAAGGTATTTTGTTATAGCAATAACATTCCATTTTTTGAGCTTCTCTAAAAATCTCTCAGCCAAAAATAATTTTCAGGGTTTCACTAGATGACAATGTTAAAAGCAAAGAACTGAAAACCATCTGAATGGCAAAAGGCTTTCTCACCATCAATCTCATTATTTCAAATTTTCCCTTCACTTTGTACTCTGGAGGTATCCATCCTAGGCTAAAGAAGCATATTAAGATTAGGGATGAGATAGGTGAGTGATTTGCGTATACTGGGCAAGAAAAGAAAGAATTGAAAAGAGGAAGGGAACAGGTACTAAGGGAAGAAGGAAAGGAGAAATCGCATGTGTGGTATATTCTTAAATCAATTTTAGGTCAGTGCATGTAAAAAAGTTGAAGATCTGGAAATGATTCTGTTAAAATGTGTGCCTACATAAGCCAAACAGCTGGCATTAGTATTTCAATATTTATTAACTCAATTTTTTTTACACAACTCTAGTCTCCTATTACTCCTATTTTATAGATGCAGTTAAATAGCTTGTCTATGGTCACTTAGTTCTCAAATGGAGTTAGGATTTGGATCCAGGCAATTAGGAAATTCCACGAATTGTAACAATGACTATTCTTGAAGTTCTTTTACTTCCTCTTAAACTCTGAGATTTCCTTCCTTTTAAATTTGTATCTTTAGAACTGTGTAAGGCAGATAATGCAAGTATTGCTCTCATTTAAGAGATGAATGGGAAGGCAGGGAAATGGGGGGAGGGAAGAGATGATTTACCGAAGTCAGAAATGCCAACTCTGACTGAAGAACTTTTCCAGCACATTTTTCTTTTTCTTTAAAACTTGCATCCTAGAGGGGTGTGGTGGTATGACTGGGAGGACAAGGCAGGAAGGTCACAAGTTTGAGCCCAGCATAGGCAACTTAGCAAGAACTATCTCAAAATAAAATATAAAAAGGCCTGGGGATGCAGCTCAGTATGAATGCCTTGGATTCAATACCCAGAATAGAAACAAAACAAAACAACCAAACCAAAACCAAAAGACTCACATCCTACACAGGTACAATCTGCATAAAATATGCAGCTCAGTATGAATGCCTTGGATTCAATACCCAGAATAGAAACAAAACAAAACAACCAAAACCAAAACCAAAAGACTCACATCCTACACAGGTACAATCTGCATAAAGCAGAAGTATAACCAAGTGCTTCCTTACTGTTTACATTTTGCCTTATAAACACGTTTTATCCTTCAGTGTCTAAGATGTCATGCATACATATAATATACAATGTCCATATGTGCACATGTAAACCCATACAAGTATACACACATGTGTAGTGTGTGTGTAGTGACTGAATCATTAAAACTTATAAAACTGGCACCAATATCTCACTTTGGGCAAAACAATTTCAGTTTATCTTAGAAATCTGGTAAAGCTCCTGCTTCAAAAATTAGAAATGAGATTTTTATGGATAGCAATATTCATTTTATTGCAAGTGAAGAATCTGTATCCTTTTCAGAAGGCCAATTTTTTTTGTTTTTTGGTACTGGGGATTAAACTCAGGACCTTGTGCTTGGGAGGCAGGCAGCAGAACAACTGAGCTAAATCCTGGGTTCACTCTCACTTAAAATCTTAAGAATGATAGAATTCTTTCCATTCTGCCCACAATCTAGTTATAATGCAGTGTTTGGGAAGTGTATTTTTGTTAAGCAGCTTGGAAGACCCAACATAGGTATTCACTTCATGGCACAATACTAAAGTGGTTTAGATCAGAAGGCCCTCAATGTTGTTGTTACTTAAGAGCTACCTAACCTTGGAATAATATTTAAGCTTTTCATGACTCAGGTCCCTCATGTGAAACATGAGCTACTTAGTAAGTAGTTTCTACCCTTCATAAAGTTGTGAGGATGAGGTGGGTTAATGCAAGTTAGGAGGTGCCAGGCACACAATAAACAGGCAAAAAATGTTAGATATTAAGCATCTACTCAAGGATTTTTTGGTTATAAAACTTAACTATGTTATTTGTACTTTTCAAAAAATGTCTCCCTTATGAAACCCAACTGCAGTTATATTTATGAGAAATATATGCTCTTTAGCATTGTTATAATTTAGCTAGCATCTTTACTATTTTAAAAAATAATCTTAATTCTAAACTAGGTATTTCTTTAAAATCTAATTTCTACTTACAGATTTAGACGATGGTGGATTTGGGCAATTATTCTTGGCTTTTAGATAAGGCCTATAAAAGAAAAAATAAAATTAATCCTTAGTAGAGAACCAACAAAGCTTGAAAGTACGATGATTAAGAATTTTGAATAGAATTTTAATGCCTTAAAATTTCTGTATATGGTAAAGTAATTCAAAAGTCTAATTCAATAAAGTCTCCTTATTATTTATTTCTGTATTTCTCTTCCTGGAAGCCATTGCTTCATGATTCTTTCAGAGATATCCTGTGCATAAATGAAGCATTCTAACAGTATTAGTGAAATATCGTAAAAGCAAAAGTCCCCTTTTTTAATGTATGGTAAAAAAAAAAAAAAAAAAAAAAAAAAAAAAAAATTCCTTGTTATATGTACCCTTCCAAATAGTGAATTTTCAGGGTGAAAAAGTGAAATATATATGATGGAAAATGATCAAGAAATCATATACATACTAATTTACCAAAACAAATGTAACTATTATATATTGCAAACATACGCTAATTTAAAAAGATGATGTATAGCTGACCCTTAATATCAGTGAATTCGACATCTGTAGTTCTAACCAACTGCTCCAAAATATTTGAAAAACAAAATTGCATATATATTGAACATCATAGACATTTTGTTATTATTCCTTAAACAACACAGGGTAACTACTTCATAGCAATTACTACGTATCAGGTGTTACAAGCAATCTAGAGCTGATTTAAAGTATATGGAAAGATATAAGCAGGTTGCATGCAAACACCATGTCATTTTACACAGGGACTTGAGCATCTATAGATTTTGGCATCTGTGGGGAATCCTGGAACCCATCCCCTGTGGATGCCAAGGCATGACTGAAATTAAAAAAATAGGGACATTGATGAAATCTAGCTAGTGAGACGAAAAGGGAAAAAAAGAAAAAGGAGGTGAACAGAGCAGAACTTAGAAAAGATTTAATCTCCACAGATCAAGACAATTAATTGCTAAACTAAAAAGACTTTGATCACCCAGTGAAGGAGGACAGGGACCTTTCTGTCTCATTAAGCACCATAAGCATCATATCTGTAGCATTAAAGTGACTGATACAGTATAGGTACATTAGTACTTGTTGACTATTTTTAAATTAGTTAAATAATTAATTTTGTTTTTTTGAGACAGGGTCTCACTATTGTAGCTCAGGGTGGCCTGAAACTCTGGGCATCCTCCTGCTTCAGCCTCCCAAGTGCTGGGATTACAGGTGTGTACCAGCACACTCAGCAATAATTTTTAATTTAATCAAAGAAACAGAATTTGGGTAAAAGCCCAATATAACAACATAAAGAATAACAGTTAACTTATTAAAAATTAATTTTCAAATAAAAATCGACCAACCCAATTGGGAAAGAAAATATATCTATGCTAAGCCAGGGGGATGGATAACACCATAATGAGGTAACATGTTGACAAAGATGAGTGAAATGGTTTTGTTTTGTCCACCTCAAAAGTAAAAATTCAGAATTGATTAAAGAGCATCTTTGGGCTGGAAGATGTCAGTGTGCCTCCACCGTGAACTGATAACTGGCTCTGCTACTTTGGCAGGAACCACTAGAAACAGGGTCATTGAACTCCTTAACCAAAAGTTGCCTCGAGGAGAATAATTTTTACCCAGAAAAAGAGAGGACAAGAAAAGCTTCCAGTATGGTAGATAATATCCTCCCCTCTTTCCTTTGGAGAGTGTCATGATAAATCTCTGCCAACAGATTAGACAACACTCAGAGTCATTGTCATGTCTGGACTGAAATGCTCTTTTTGAGTTATCTTAGGATTCCAGTGTTGGTTGAGTAGGCTGCAGGCAAAACGGCTATGTTTTGAAAAGGCTTTAAGTTGCTGTTAGCAACGATGGCAACAAAACTGGCATTACTGTGGGTAAATAAAACTCACTTGGTGTTTTGGTTTTTCAGTTTTCCTTTGGCTGCTAGGTACTCCTGCAGCTTTTTCTGCCGCTCTTCTGCAAAACAAGCAAGCAAACAACAGAACTTTAGCTTGAAATTTTAACTAGTTCATTTATATTCTAAAAGATGACCCTTTTCCACAATTGGATTTGGACTCGGGGGTAACTTCTTCCTCATCCCACCCAATCTGCCCACGGCTGCTGTCCACATTCCGGCCCAGCGCAAAGGGCCATACCCAGCTCTGCCTGCGGCTAAATTTGCGCAGCTGTAACAAAGCGCGTTGCTTCTCACAGGTGCGGTGACCCAGGCAAGCGGTCTCCGATTTTCGATCGATGACTTCATTTTCAGAGGGGCTCAGCACCCGTGCCCAGCCTGGGATCCGGATCTGGGATCCACGTCAGGGGCAACCGAGGCAGTCTGGAGAGCAGATGGGCAACTGCCGCGGAAAGGATCTCGGTTGCCTCCTTACTTCCTTGCCGGTGCTCCAAGGCCTTCAAGAAATAGAGACACACGGTCACACTCACCCACAGCGGCGGCGGAGGCAGCAGTGGCAGCAGAGGGCCCAGGTCCCACCATGACTCCTCAGCTACAGTTTCCCTTTCAAAGGCCGCGCCAGGAGCAACAGCTGCGGCGCCGCACTTCTGGGCACTCTCATTGGTTCCCACGGGTTTGAAATCTACCAATAGAAATTATGAGAGGGCGGGACAACAGGAAACAGACGCTTTATGGTTGGCCCCGGACCTAGGAGTTCCTCTGGGGCCCTTTGACTAGAAGAACGTCTGTGTACCTCAACCTGAAAGACTGCTCGGCTGGCACCTGTTTGGCAGCTGAAGGCTCTGGGCCTTTTCTGAAGAAAGTAATCCCGGGTGGCGGTTGCGGTGTTGACTGCGTTATATCCTGGCTGGTGCCGTCTTACAGGAGCGCTGCCTGTCTCCAGGAGCTATGGAAAAACAACAACAACAACAACCTCCAACGAAACACACACAAAAAACTCCAATGAGTTAGATCTTTGCCATCCTATTATATAACTCAACCTGATATATCCAAAGGTGGTTACTTCTTAGTACGGCAGGTGACTCCTTTTTATTTTTAAATATGATGAAACAAAAAATTTGTCATGTGAACACTTTTTAGGGTTTTTTCCTTTTTTCCCCTTGCAGTACTGGGGATTGAACCCAGGGACTTCGAAATGAGCTACATTTGTTTTTTTTTTTTTTTAATTTTTGGCACTACATACATTCATATTGCTGTGAAAATGATTACCACTGTCCCCAGGCCTCTTTGATTTTTCTGATCTGAAACACCACTCCCCATTCCTTGCTTCTGTCAGCCTCTGGCAGCCATCATTCCATTTTTTTTGTCTGAATTTGAGAAGTTTATGCCTCATGTAAATCACAGCATGTGTTCTTCTGTAACTGGCTCTTTCAAAATGTTCTCGGTTCATTAGTGTGGTAGCACGTGGTAGCATTTCCTTCCTAAGGCTGGATAATACATATTCCACGGTTTGTACAGGCTATATATATGTACATGCCACATTATCACCAGTTCACAGATGTGGTTCGCTTCCACCTTATGGCTGTCGTGACGACTGAGGGTAGTGGTATTTTTGGATCGTACGGTAATTCTATTTTTTTGAGCAACCACCATACCCTTTTCAGGGTGCCTCCTTTGTAACATATATTTTAAATTTGGCCATTTTAGCTGGGATGGCAGAGGGCAGGCTGAGTTGTCTTGAGTCCAAAGGCTGTGCAACGAGAGTTTAGTTGCACACCATTTCTGTTTCAGCCTGGAATGTTTTTCGCTTGAAGTTTGCCTCATTTCAGCTATTCTGCGGTTTCATGAAGAGCTCTGGGAAATGCTCTTGACACCTTGTGTGTCTGGGTGACTCCTCTCTGAGTACTAGAATGGTGGTAGGTAGAGAGGATCAGTCAGCTGTGGGCCCTGTTTACTAGGACCAACTGTTACCAGTTGGACATATGGCAGAGCATGAAACCACTGTCTCGCCCTTTCTTTTTGGCCCCAGTAGGGAGTTTGGAAGAGAACCATACCAGACTTCTGGATCTAAACATTTTGAAATTTATTACATTAGAAGTATATGACTTTTTTAAAATTGGGAAATTATTAGGGAAACTCATAAGGATTTTAGCGAAAATTTAGACTGTCTAGGATCATGACTTTGTGCCTAATGGTTAAATCTAGCAGCTGGGAAGATCCATCTTTGATATGAGTATCTTAGTTACTTTCCCATTGCTGGGACAGAATACCTGACAATCACAATTTATTTTTTAAATTTCAAAATTAATTTTTGGTACATTTTAGGCATACAATATAATGACATTTGTCATTGGAAATTTGCACCTTTATGTAATCTACCTTGGTTCTTATTTTTTTCCCATTCCCCTGCCCTCCCTTAAACCCCTGCATCCCTCCCTATTTAGAAAGACTGTTTCCATTTTTTCCTTTCTCATGTTAATCCATTCCCTTCTTTCCTTCACCTACACCTTCCATTTCCCCTTCCCCTCTGCCCTTTTCTTCCTATTCACATTATTTTATACATTTTGATCCTTATTTACACTTTCAGTTTCTCACACCAGAGAAACTATTTGATATTTACATATGTGTGTCCTATTTATTTCAGTTAAGAGTATGGCCTTAGTGTGCATCCATTTAGCTATAAATGTCTCTTAATTTCTCACTTTTTATGTCCGAGTAGTACTCCATTTTATATTAAAAAAAACCCGCCACGCTTTCTTTATCCAGTCTCCAGTTGATGGGCAGTTGGGCTGCTTCCAAGTTTTAGCTATTACAAACTGTGACACCACAATTTTAAGGAAGAGGTTTATTTTGCTTCATGGTTCTAGTCTGGTTGATTGGCTTTAAGGCACAAACAGGATGGCAGAGGGACATGGGACAAGGTGGAGGAAAAGATACTGTATCCATATGAACCAGGAAGAGATGGGGGCAGAGACAAGAATATATATATTCTTCCAGGTCATCCTCCTAGTGGCTCACCTTCAGTCAGGCCCCACCTTCTAGTAGCACATTTGGCTACTGTATTCATCAATGGAAGGCTCTACTGATAAGTGTGGCACCCCATGATCCAATCGCCTCTCAAACAATCTCCAGATCTATATAGTTATTGCAACTTGGCAGGAGTACTAAAGGTGGCCAGCAGCCTCCTTGGACTGTTATTTGAGAGTGCTGCTTACTATGAAACTTTCCTTACAAGGAACTCAAATAAAGTCTTTAAAGATGAGCTCATTGGTGCTTATCCTATGGAGAAACATAGGTTGGTTCTGCTTCTATTTCTCTATCCTTTGGATACTTGAAGATTTTTTTTTTCAGTACTAGGAATTGAATCCAGGGAGTATTGAGCTATACTCAGGCTTTAAAAAAAACTTATTTATTTAGTTGGTTTTCTGAGTAGTAGATTTAGTCCAGGCCAATCTTGAACTCATTATGTAGCCCAGGCTAGTCTCAAACTCTTGATCTTCCTGCTTCAGTCTCCCAAGTGATGGGATTGCAAGTATATTCCCCAATGACTTGAGGAACTATTTTCTAAGACACAGAATGTGGGGGAAAAAAGCTAGGCTGGTTTAAAATTTTCAACTTATCCAGCAAAATATCCATGGTAGAACTCTGGAAGAGGAGGAAGAAGAGGGTGGGGAGGAGAAGAAAGGATTGAAGAGGAAAGGCCCAAGTTAATCCTTTTATCAGGAAACTACTTCCACAATATGACAGCAGCATCAATCCATTGTTATGAACACAGGGCCCTCTGGACCTTGTCATTTCTTAAAGGTCTCACCTCTCAACACAGTTGAATTGGGGATTGTTGTCATTCGGGAGCTCCTATTGAGAGGGTGAGGCATGGGATCACCAAGCAGACTCTAGGGCCATTTCTGGAATGCTTCTGCTTTATTCAGGAAACACACTGGCTTATATAGGGATAACCTTGGGGGAGGAGCAGGGGAGGAGCATTTCACATTTGGTGATATCTTTTTTTTTTTTGATTTTTTGAGACAGGGTCTCGCTATGTAGTTGAGACTGACCTGGAACTCACTATGTAGCCCAGGCTGGTCTCGAACTCACAGAGATCCTCCTGCCTCAGCCTCCCTAGTGCTGGGATTACAGGTGTGCACCACCACGCCTGGCTACATTTGGTGATATCTTATTGGAGGCATGGTGGAGTGATTAGAGATCCTCCTGCCTCAGCCTCCCTAGTGCTGGGATTACAGGTGTGCACCACCACGCCCGGCTACATTTGGTGATATCTTATTGGAGGCATGGTGGAGTGATTTTTTTTTTTTGGGCAGGTGAAGAAGTCATGGACTAGGGGCAGAGGTGTAGCCTGTTGGACCCAGCATCTATGCACTTAGGCAAGTTAGCTCAGCTTTAGCAAGGTCTCTGAGTTAGCTCAGGACACAGGAGTGCAGTGCATCTGGCCCAGCCAGGCCTGAACTTCTCCTCCCACAGGGGATTAAGTCTCCTGTACATGAACTCTATGGGACACATTCAAATCATTGCAGTCATTTGTCTTTTTATTATTGAGTATTCTTAGTTGGCTCTTAATTATCCTTTAGTCTCAAGCAAGGCAACTTTCTCAGGGAAGTTTTCCTGAGCCTCACTTTGTGATTAGCTTGTTTATCTTTCTTCCTGCTATTCTGTAAACTGAGCACAGATCATTAAATTGTGTGGCATGAAAGAGAAGCTCAATTATTTGGATAAATGGAGCTTTCTTCCTTTAGAGACTCTTAACAATACAGTGGCCACACTATGTAGGAAGTGCAAGCCCACTAATATTACAACTGGTTCTTCTAGCCCATACACCTCCATCTGATCTACCTATATATCATTAGTGACTTTGCTAAATGTCATTGTAAAAAGAAAAATACCATATAATCTAGAAGTTGGAAAGAAGCAAGCATGGTCAGGCTGATGTTGCTAAGTACGGCTGACTGGCTGGTCAAGAGCCTTACCTGACAGTTTCAGAATGTTTACCTTCACCCAAGGCCCAAGCCTCAGCTCTGTGGGTTGGCCTCCCAATTGTGGATTAGCCTCTCAGGGATGAACTCACTAAGGGAAAGCAATAACAGCTACTCTTAAGTGAAATAATGAATCAATTATCAACTGAACACTAAATCTCCGGTGCTGTGCAAAGTTCTTTCTGTATTTTATTGTCTTTAATTCTAAAAGACTTTGATATGGAGAAAGCGAAAAAAGATGAACTCATTCTTTTGTTAAGAACCTAATCCTGGGTCAGGGATTTAGCTCAGTGGCACTGTGCCTGCTTTGGAGGCGCAGTCGCAGGTGCAAGTTCCTGAGTTTGATCCCCAGTACCAAATGAACAAATAAACAACCTAATCCCATAATAAGCAACCCATTCTTGTGATAAGAGCATTAAGACATTTATTATTAAATGTAAGTTCTTAGTATGGGAGACTTATTAATCATAAGTCACCAATATGATGGCTTGATTTAACAGTTTTTTCAACTTTATGATAATGTAAAAATAATATGAGTGGGAGATTGCAATATTGATTATGCCCAAAGCAGGCTGTAAACAGTGCAGGCTGTAAAGAGTTAACCCCACAATTGGCTTGTTTATGAAGTGAGTCTGGCTGAATTCCACATGCCAAGGT